CAATCAGCTAGCATTCGATGTTTATGCCTTTTGGGAGGGAAATAAAAGTGAACAGTAAAAGAACACAGTTCACTTTTTCCGGAAATGGTTGACTGCAGAGCTGGTGTGCAGGCAAAAGGAAAGTGACATGCGCTGTAGATGCTATTGGAACACAAAGAAGTGCTGAAAGGACCTGGATCAAACACTTGTTTGTGTCTCTTTGGGGGGGACGGGACGTAAATATATATGCAATAAAATGCTTGCCATTTGTCCATTCTCCAAGTGTTGCATTTTTTAAAAGATAAATTAAGATATTGTGCAAAATATCAAAGGAACTCAGGACAGTCGGCAGCAACATTGAGGAGAGAAAAGGCCACTCCTATTTTAATATCATAAACCATCAACCATATGTTCCTGGGCACTAAGTCAATATGCCATACTTATAGGAAAAGTTCATAAACTGATGGATTTAAAAAAACCTCCAACTCACTGCCATCGAGTCTGAGTGATAGTCAATGAATATGGTCATTTCAGCCCAAAATCCTTGGGGAATATGTTATCATTCTGGGCTTCATACACCTGTGACTATAGTCTCATTTTGGAGGGCATTATCTGCTAACAAACTGGAACAGGATGAAATAAGATCTGGCCTTAGTAGAGTGTGTGAATCAGGTCACACTCTTTGTTTGATGTTATCCTACTTATTATCACTTACAATGGATGTAAAGAATTATATGCTACAGCTTAGAGGAGAGAGAAAATGGTTTCTGCAATGACTGTCTGATTAAGAGTTGTAGGAGGTCAATGCTTACTGGAAATGTCTTGCTAGAGGACCAGGTCATATGCACATAAATAAAATACAGTCCAAGGGTGGAGAATAAATTATTAATTTTAGGTGAAATTTCATTGCACCAGGTAACTCCCACCAAACGACTTTTCCCTGCCAGGTCCTGTAAGAAGGTGGGGGAGGAAACTGATGGGATTCACCTGTGAGTAATTGTGAATAAGATTCCCTACAACGCCATCCTGCTGTGTATAAAATGAGAAACAGGGGGAGTGATCACAACACCAAGACCAGGAGTGTAGTATGTCCTCTGGCCCCAGCGTCTGGCTTACCCCTCCCTGACCTTGAGACTTTGGGCTGAATTGTACCCACCACTGGATGAGGCATTTCTTCAACCTTTTGTGTATGCTGTGGAACACTGTAAAGATTAGCCGAGCCCAGAACTGTGAGGGAGTCTACCTGAGGGAGGAGTGGAAACGTGGGAGCTGACTGTCATCTTGCAAAAGTTGGACTTTTTGGGACTTTCTCAAGCTCCAACTTCTTGGGACTAGTTTGGTATTAATTCTTACAAAGAAATGATCACGACAGAGTTGATTCTGACTTACGGAGACCCTATCAGACAGGCTAGAACTGTGCCTGTGGGCTTCTGAGACTGTGATTCTTTATGGCAGTAGAACGCCTCATCTTTCTCTGTGCAGTGGCTGGTGGTTTCGAACTGCTGACGTTGCAGTTAGCAGCCCAGCTTGTCACCACTATGCCTCCAGGGCCCCCTTAAACTGATGGCGCCTCAATTTCCAAATTTACCAAGAAGACACGTACTTGTGGTTCTGCTCCTCACCTGAGGAAAACCTTCTGTAAGCATATCTTATCATCTTGTAACAGTTGAGCTTTGGGGATATAATTGTGGGACATAATTTTCATATTATGTTAGCAGATGCCATGTATTAAAATGATTAGGAATGCCATTTATTGTGTTGGAAAGAACATAACTCATGGGCTCACAAGATCCTACTTCTGATAATGAATTTATCCTGTAAACTTTAGACTGCATTTCTAAATTTGAAAAATAAGGGGGAATAAAATTCCCTTTCACTTCTGTTTCACAGGTTTTTTAATGAAGCTTAATCTTGATCATGTATGTGAAATTTTTCGCATTTTTACAGATTGATATGGAATTTCAAATTAAAGTTACACAACGAGGGAGGAAGCCAAACATTTATTTCTTTCCCTCAGACTTTTTCTTATTCTATTTCAGGCCTTTAATGATTGACCCCCAGGGCCAAGCCAATAAATGGATCAAAAATTCTGAGAAAGAAAACCAGCTGAGTGTTATAAAGCTATCAGATTCAGACTATATGAGAACATTGGAAAATTGTATTCAGTTTGGAACCCCGCTTCTATTAGAAAATGTTGGTGAAGAACTGGATCCGTCGTTGGAGCCTTTACTACTTAGACAAACTTTTAAACAAGGTAAATGGCAATTAACACTAGTTGATAAAACTGAAGGAAAAAAAAGATTGGTTATCTTTGAAGCATAAAAGAAGCCACTACATAAATAAAATAATGATAATAACAGAACTTGTATGTGCGACTGTTGTGAGTGAAACAAGCTCTCAGGGATAGATATTGTCAGGTCACCTCAAATAAACCCTTTGCCATCTCATGGCTGCTTTCTGACTGCCACTCCCTGCCATTGAGTCAGTGCTGACTCATGGCCACCTCATAGGACAGAGTAGAACTGCCCCTGTGAATTTCTGGGACTGTAACCCTTTAAGGGAGTAGAAAGCTCCATTTTCCTCCCCTGAATGGGCTGGTGGTTTTGAACTGTGGACCTTGCTTTAGTCACTGTTACCAAGACTGGTGTTTATGGTTGTGTCATGTTGAGTGGATTCTGACACAGAGAAATCAGTGAAACGCTGATTCATGGGAGCTCGTGTATCACAGTATGACTGTGCTCTGTAGGACTTTCAATGGTTAAAGGAGATCTTCAGGTCTTTCATCCCACTTATTTCTGTGTGGGCTTGAACCGTCAACCATTAGTGCATCCTCATGCTTTAACAATTTGCACCCCCTAAGGACTCTTGCAGTGCTACAGAGAACATAAAGTTGAAGCCAGCGTAAAATCCCTTTGTCTTGCAACCAGACATCATGCAAATCCCATTATTACAAACACCCAAGCAACCTCACTGCCGTCAAGTTGATCCCAGCGCCGAGCGATCCTGCAGTCATGGCGAACGTGGGCCAGGGTTGACTTGAGGTCTGTTAAACTCTAGAACCTTTAATAGCTCCAGTCTTATGCAATTAATTTTGGAACCATGGCTGAAAATAGATGGAGGTGAGAAACGATGTACAAATGCGCTTTACACAATTGATGTGTGTATGGATTGGGATAACAGTTGTGTGAGCCCCTAATAAAATGTTAAAAAAGAAAGAGAAAAAAAAAATTCAAAATGGTTGCAGCAGTACATCTGATGTTAGATGGACTTAAACTGTCAGCAGAGAATACCAAAAAAAAAAAAGAAAATAGATGGAGGAACAAAGCTCAAAAATGAATCCCGACTTAGAAGGCTCCATAACAACCGATATGAATTGTCCTCCACTGCCCCAGAGTGAGTCCTGCTGCATAGTTGTCCTGGTGTCTGTGCTTTTGTTACGTTTTCCATTTCAAATTATTTTAGAGTTTTTTATTTGTAAGCTAAGCAAGACCATAACTCAAACCAAACCCAGTGCTATTGAGCTGATTCCAACTCATAGCAACCCAGGAAGACACAGTAAAATTGCCTCTGTGGCTTTCCAAGATTGTAAGTCTTTGCAGGAGGAGAAAGCCTCATCTACCTCCTGTGGTGGGGCTCGTGGTTTCGAAATGCTGACCTGGTGTAGCCCAATGTGTAACCCACTATATGGGCAGGCAAAGCCTTAGAAGTACATAAATACATAAAAGATCATGTAACTTTGTCTTGTATATTCTACCTTTGTTTTCTGAAATTTAGGTGGCATTGATTGCATCAGACTTGGTGAAGTCATAATTGAATATTCCTTTGATTTCAAATTTTACATTACCACAAAACTGAGAAATCCACACTATATGCCAGAGCTAGCTACAAAAGTGTCTCTGCTCAATTTCATGATAACTCCAGAAGGACTTGAAGATCAATTACTAGGTATTGTTGTTGCAAAGGAGAGGTATGTATTTCCTACAGGTATCCCAATGATGTAGAAAGGAATATTCGTAGACCACTAATACTTTTCTTATGTGATTATTTCTAAACTATGTCAAATTTTATATTTTAATATAAGTAAAATAATAATGAAATCCTTTAATGTAACCATTCTGTAAAATTAAACTTATAAGTCAACCACAGTATATTGATTTTAGAATGGGGAGATTAATTAAAATGACATGCCATTAGTTCTAACTTGTATCTGAGTGTGTGAGCCAGAAATCTAATCCCTAGGAATCAATGCTGTAGACATAAATAGAAATGCATTATAAGACTTATTTACAAGATATAAATGAAATGAGAGATTGACTAGGATACAGTATAGTATGGGTGACATTTTATTTAAAAAACACTAGTGAATTGATGGATGGCTATATAGATATATAAAGACAAGGAAACAATAACCAAAATATTAACAGTGATCATGGCTGAGCTTATGGGCAAATGTATCCTTTCCTTCAGACTTTATATATCAATTATCCCATTACTAATGTGTTAATTTTTTTAATGAGAAAATATAACAGGCTACTAGCATAGAATTGTACTTTAAGGCATTTTATGGTTCTACTTGAAGCTTAATGTAATATTATGAAGTGCTCTATTAAATTAATTAAATATGTCAAATTAAGACCATGTTAATATATCAATGTGCATCTGTCTCTTCAGATAATAACACTAATTATCATCTCTTAAACCAAATGCAAATGTAGTACTTCCTCTGATGCAGTTCACTCACAGCTAGGTCACTTCTCAAAAATCCAAAGTCACAGTTCTCCAGAATGCAAAGTCTGACCAAGATTTCAGACACCCACCACTACTTTGAAGCTCCCTAGGGCCCCTTCACTTTTGACCTCTGCTCTACAAATTAGGGGGCTCCTACTATACCCTCAGGGTGTCAGTCATAAGCTTGGGGTGCTGGCTTGAAATTCAGGGATTCCTACTACTCTTTCAGGTTCAGTAAGTCACTGAAACAGTTCTTAGAACTCAGAAAAAAGCTAAATTTGTTATATTGGGGCAGGGGGGATTTGAATTAGGACCAGCAAAAAGAAGAGATGTCTGGGAAGATCTCAAACATGGAACTTCCTGTTCTGAAGACATGCTACCCTCTTATTCTTGTTTTCAGGGAAAAGGAGACCCCAAAATGAAATATATGTTTTACAGACCCATTTATTAAGTGTTGAATAGGACAAAGACAAGACAAAAGTAAAAACAAATCATCCAAATGAGGGAGACCATCAGTATAAGGCCAAGATGGTGTCCAAGGATTCACAACCAAGTGGCCATTTAAATAGGACCTGGAAAACGAAACTGTCACAAAATCATGATTGACAGTGATCACTTCATCACTGCAGACAGGACTAGAGAAGCAGCAAATGTACTATGATTGGAATATGTGTTCTGAGGCAGATCAGAAAAGCTTACAAGATCTGCTCAGGGTTCTCCTACCAAAGAGTCAGTGTGTGCCTCGTGACGATTAGACCCTGCCGCCCAATCTCCATCAAGGGCATCCCCAGACAAATCCCTGGGGATAAATCCCTGCACTGGCTAAGGGCGTCATCCACGTTTAAACACTCTCTGAGGGCAAAGATTTTCACATTGCTGGTCAATGGTCAGAAAGAACTCCGTCCAGGCTGAATCTCTGTGGAATCTCTGACTGGATTTAAGCTTCTCATTGTAAATCATGTTGGAAACGAATATCGAAAGTACTCTGGGCTGTCAGAAGAACACACAAGTCTGTCTTGGAAGAAGTACAACCAGAATGCTCCTTCAAAGCAAGGAGGATGAGATTTACTTGAATGCATTGTCAGGAGAGACCAGTCCATGGAAAAGGACATCATTCTTGGTAAAAAGGAGGTCAGCAAAAAGAGGCAAACCCTCAATGAGACAGATTGACGCAGTGGCTGCCCAAATGGGCGCAAACAATTGTGAGGATGGTGCAGGACCATATGGTGTTTCCTTCTATTGTACGTAGGATGGCTTTGATTGGAATGGACTTCAAGGCACCCAATAACAACTAAAGCATGGCCTGCTGCAAACCTGGTACTTAGAGTTTAAGCTCTCGCGCAGGCTTCAATGACTTTCGCAAACCAGGAAACACCCAGGCTTCAGTTTCTAGAGGCTTTACTGGGGTTTAATTGTGCAGGTATGACTGAGGAGCCCTGGTGGCGTAGTAGTGGTTACCCTTTGGCCTGTGAGCCTCAAAGTTAGCAGTTTGAAAGCACTAGCCACTGCTCAGAAGAAAGACAAGGCTTTCTATTCCTCTAAAGAGTTGTTGTTGGCTGCCTATGAGTCAGTGTTGACCAGTAGTGACCTTATGCACAACAGAACAAAGCTCCAGCCTCACAATTGTTCCCATGCTTGAGTTCATTGCTGCAGCCACAGTGTTAGCCCATTTCCCTGAGGGCCTTCCTCTCCCTTCCTGCCCCTCCTGGGCTCTCCTGACAATGTGTCCCAAGCCCGTAAGACAAGTCTCGTCGTCCTTGCCTCTAAGAGCGCTCTGGGTGCACTTCCTCTGAGGCAGATGGGTCTGTCCTTTGAGCAGCCCATGGTGCTTTCAGTCTGCTTCCCAGCTCCACAATCCTAATGTACCGATTCTTCTTCAGTCTTCTTTATTCAATGCCCAGCTTCTGAATCTAGGAAAATTAGAAGTTGTTAAAAAAATGAAACGGGATATATAAAGATCAATATCCTAGGCATTAGTGAGCTGAAATGGACTAGTGTTGGCCATTTTGAATCACAAAATTACATGGTTTACTATGCCAGGAATAACACAATCAAGACAAATGGCATGACATTCATTGTCAAAAAGGACATTGTGCAGTCAATCGTGAAATACAGTGCTGTCTGTGATAGGATTATATCCATGGTCAAGGAAATCAAATCAATACAACTATTCTTCAAATGTATGCACTAACCACAAAAGCTAGTGAAGAAGAAAATGAAGGTTTCTACTAAGGACTTCAGTCAGAAAGCAATCAAACATCCAATCGAGATGCAGTGATAGTTACTGGTGAGTGGAATGCAAAAGTTGCAAACAAGAGGAAAGAACAGTAGTTGGAAAATACAGACTTGGTCATAGAAATGAAGCTGGAGAATGCATGATAGAATTTTGCAAAACCAATGATTTGTTCATAGCAAATTCCATAAAGAATACAGTCTTGGAAACCCATAGGAGCAGGTCTACCCTGTCCCATCGGATTGCTATGCATTGGCATCAGTTCTTGCAAGTGAATTTGTTTTGTTTTTATGATCTATTGATCAGCCCACAGGTGGAACTGCTACTACCTGATAGGCCTTTCTGGCATGGTAACCCCCCACCTTATTAGCATAAGTTGTCAACTGGGATCTGGAGCACTTCCATGAATGACAAAGACTAATCACTGTAGAAATTCCAAGAGTCCTGAGAGTCCCTTCTGAGCTCTGGGTTGGGTTTGGGATGCTGACCTGGGAGTCCCCTGGAGGAGGCTCGTGTGAGTCAGCAGTGACTTGATGACAGTGACTTGTTTTCTGTTTCTGAGACGAAGATCCAATTAAATGTAATTATACAATTGCCACACTTTACAGCATATTGTAGAACATGGTGGAGTGTGCTATTTAGATGCTTCACACCATCTTTGTTATTGTCACTTAACCTTTTATCTGAATCAGGAACCATTCTTTCAGTTCTGTTAATGTAGATAATGAAAGGGAGGCTGAGTGATGACAAAGGCAAGAATAGATAAGACACTTCCTACTCTTCTCGAGTTCTTATTCTCACATAACCAGTTGTGCCACTTGGATAAACCTGACTTTTGTTTTTATCATTTTATTGGGGGCATGCAACTCTTATCACAATCCATACATCCTTCCGTGTGTCAAGCACATTTGTATATTTGTTGCCATCATTTTCAAAACATTTGCTTTCTACTTGAGCCCTTGGTATAAGCTTCTCATTTTCCCCCTCCCTTCCCCGCCCTCCCTTCCTCCTACATGAACCCTTGATAATTTATACATTATTATTATTTTTCAGGTCTTACACTGACTGATGTCTCCCTTCACCCACTTATCTGTTGTCCTTGTCCACCCCCCTGGGAGGGGGCTATATGTAGATCATTGTGATCGGTTTCCCCTTTCTCCCCCACCTTCCTCTTCCCCTCCTGGTATCACTAATCTCAATATTGATCCTAAGGGGCTTATCTGTCCTGGATTCCCTGTGTTTCCAGCTCTTATCTATACTAGTGTACGTGCTCTGGTCTAGCTGGATTTGTAAGGTAGAATTGGGGTCATGATGGGAGGGGTACGGGGGAGGAAGCATTAAAGAACTAGAGGAAAGTTGTATGTTACATCATTGCTATACTGCACCCTAACTGGCTGGTCTCTTCCTTGTGACTCTTCTGTAAGGGGATGTCCAATTGCCTACAGATGGGCTTTGGGTCTTTACTTTGCACTCCCCCTCATTCACAATGATAAGATTCTTTTGTTCTGGGTCTTTGATGCCTGATACCTGATCCTGTCGACACCTGATCACACAGGCGGGTGTGTTTCTTCCATGTGGGCTTTGTTGCTTCTCAGCTAGATGGCCGTTTGTTTATTTTTAAGCCTTTAAGACCCCAGACACTTTATTTTTTGATAGTCAGACACCATCAGCTTTCTTCACCACATTTGCTTATGCACCCGCTTTGTCTTCAGCGATGGTGTTGGGAAGGTGAGCATCACAGAATGCCGGGTTATTAGAACAAAGTATTGTTGCATTAAGGGAGTCCTTGAGTAGAGGCCCAATGTCCATCTGCTACCTTAATACTAAACCTATAAAAACCTAGCATATTCTTAAACTTACTGTTGTATAAGTTATTGCCACCTTTACATGTATGCAATAATGCTTTTTTCCCTAAATTTCTCAGTATCCATAATTGTATGGGAGTAATTTTCTTTTTAAAAATATTAAGATTAAAGAGATGGAACCATCTTAGTTTGTGTTACATATCTGAAATTTTATTTAAATTCCTATAAAACTGTGATACATAATACTTAGATATAAATTTAGATAAAGTCCTACTAAACTTTGACTTGATGTTTCTACCTTTTTAGACCAGAATTAGAAGAGGAACGTAATGCTCTTATTCTTCAGTCTGCAGCTAATAAAAAGCAACTAAAAGACATAGAGAAAAAAATTTTGGAAACATTATCATATTCAGAAGGGAACATTTTAGAAGATGAAAGTGCGATCAAAGTCTTAGACTCTGCTAAACTGATGTCCAATGAGATCACAAAGAAACAACAGGTGAAAAAAGAACATAGAATGTTTCTGTTCTTAACGATCCCAATTTGCTTTCAGGCCCTGAACAAAGTGCTCTGTTTGGCTTCTTGGGAAAGAAGAAATAATTGATAAAATACCAAAATACAGAAAAGAATTTTAAATCACAATCTCTATCTATCTCTATCGCTCTTATCAGAATTATTCAAAACATCCAATCTATATGGTATCCCTATAGATGAAATGAATTTAGAATGAAAAATTTAGAGAGAGATTTATTATCATCTAACATAATTAAATGGTATTTAGGTGTTACATCTCTTTCTTAGAAGATCCTACCACCTTATGGGTGGACGAAGCCTTAGTTACCAGTCATCTTTTCATTTCATAGTTGAGAAAACTAGGGCCCAGAAAGGCTGATGCCTAAGTTCACACAATTAAATGATATCGCAGAATACCGTGTACATGCCAAATGTATGGATGCTTCAGACCTTTTGATTCCTCCTGACCCATCTAGTGAATTAAGTACTACCTAACATTGGGGTAGGAGTCCCTGAATGATGCATACAGTTAGTCTGCTTGTCTTTTAACAAAGAGCTTGGTGCCCTACTTCCCCAAATTCTCACTGCCATCGAGCCGATGCTGACTCATAGCCACCCTTTAGGACAGGATCGGGCTGCCCCTCTGAGTTTCTGAGACAGTAACTCTCTGCAGAAGTAGAAAGCTCCATTTTGCTCCTGAGGAGTACCTGGTGGTTTCAAACTGCTGGTGGTGCGGCCAGTGGCCAGCGGCCCACCGTGTAACCACTATGCCCCAAATTAGCCACTGAAAACTCTACAGACCACATATCCTACTCTGACACACATGGGGTTGGCAGGAGTTGGAATTGACTCGCCAGCAACTGTTTTGTTCTTGCTGTTCTTTAACATTGGGCTGATCAGAAACTGAAGAAAAAGCTGCATAGGAATTGCACTGGTCACTCAGCATCCTTGTTCCATCTACGGCCAACATCCGCCGAATCTGGGACAGAAGACTCAGCATGTGCACTGTTGTTCTTTTGTAAATCATGGTGGAGCCAGAGGAGGAGGTTCTTGAAACAGTCACCCTCCTGGGACTATGGCTGAGCTATTCTTTCGTGTCCTCCTCCCCATTTCCATCAGAACAGAACCAACCTCTCATGGTTCTCTTTCCAATCTGGTTTTGTTTGGTTGGTTTTAAGTGGAGAGAAGATATGTTTATCATGGAGGGATTATTAAGACTAAGGGGGAAAGGAGATACAAAAATCTGTTGGTTCAAGTACTTTGTCTTTCAAAGAGAGAGACATTTAATCTCTTTCTGGCTGGGTGCCATTAATTATTACAAACTTAGTTTTTAATTCAGTATGCATTTTCATCTCAAACTGATTGCATTATCTTGCCTTGACTACTACTACTACTTTTTAAAATCATTTTATTGGGGCTCTTATAACTCTTATCACAATCCATCCCATTATCCATTGTGTCAAGTACATTTTTACATTGTGCACCATCATCATTCTCAAAACATTTGCTTTCTACTTGAGCCCTTGGTATCAACTCCTCATTCCCCCCCTCTCCCTGCTCCCCCTCCCTCACGAACCCTTGATAATTTATAAAAAATTTTGTTCATGTCTTACACTGTCCGACATCTCCCTTCACCCACTTTTCTGTTGTCCGCCCCCCAGGGAGGGGGTTATATGTAGATCCTTGTAATGAATTCCCCCTTTCTACCCCACCTTTCCTCCACCCTCCCAGTATTGCCACTCTCACCACTGGTCCTGAGGCATTCATCTGTCCTGGATTCCCTGTGTTTCCAGTTCCTATCTGCACCAGTGAACATCCTCTGGTCTAGCCGGATTTGTAAGATAGAATTGGGATCATGAGATAGTGTGATGGGTGGAAGCATTAAAGAACTAGAGGAAAGTTGTATGTTTCATCGTTGCTACACTGCACCCTGACTGGCTCATCTCCTCCCTAAGACCCTTCTGTAAGGGGATGTCCAGTTGTCTACAGATGGGCTTTGGGTCCCCACTCCACACTCCCCTTCATTCACATTGATAAGACTTTTTTGTTCTTTGATGCCTGATATCTGATCCCATCGACACCTCATGATTGCACAGGCTGGAGTGTTTCTTCCCTGTGGGCTTTGTTGCTTCTCAGCTAGATGGCCGCTTGTTTATTTTCAAGCCTTTAAGACCCCAGACGCTATATCTTTTGATAGCTGGGCACCATCAGTTTTCTTCACCACATTTGCTTATGCACGTGCTTTGTCTTCAGCGATCGTGTCGGGAAGGTGAGCATCATAGAATGCCAGTTTAATAGAACAAAGTGTTCTTGCATTGAGGGAGTACTTGCCTTGACTTCTATTTCACTCCTCCTGGACCCTTAAAGGATCCTTGGTGTTGTAGTTTGTGAAGCACTGACTGCTTACCAAAAGGTTGGTGGTTGGAATGAAGAAAAGAGGAGGCAGTCAACTTCCATACAGATTAACAGCCTTCTGACAGGGCAAGATATGACAAAATAATAATTTATAAATTATCAAGGGCTCATGAGGGAGGGGGGAGCCGGGAGGGAGGGGGAAAAAATGAGGATCTGATGCCGGAGGCTTAAGTGGAGAGCAAATGTTTTGAGAATGATGAGGAAAATGAATGTACAAATGTGCCTTACACAATTGATGTATGTATGGATTGTGATATGAGCCCCTAATAAAATGATTAAAAAAAAAAAGATTAACAGCCTTAGAACCCTATGGAGCAGTTCCACTCTGGCCTACAGGGCCACTGTGAGTCAGAACTGACTTGATGGCGGTGTGTGTCCACCCGCCCAGTGTGAGAAAAACAAGCATGCTTTTCTTTTTTTAACCCAAGACACAGATTAAACAAAACTCTAGACTGGACTTTAGTATTTTCAATTCTTGGAAATTTTAATACATATACATATCACAGACTGGAATATTTTTACAAGCAATAGATTCTCAACATTTACTTGATTAAACATGTTCATCTCTAACATATGTTTGCAATGTTTATTTCTTAGAAAATGTCTTTCCTACATTTGTCGAGCTGTCTTTCTTCCTTTGCTTTTTCCTGCCCTGCGTCCATGGGTCCCTTCCTCCGTCCCTCTCGTCTTCCTTTCTCCTTGTTCCCTTTCCTTTTCTTTCTGGCACTGAGCATGATAGGGTCCTTTTAATAAATGTGATTGGGTTAGGAGGTGCTTTTTATAAATTCTTTTTTAATCTTGATTTTCTTTTCCTCTTCTTCGTTTAGATTGCAGAGAAAACAGAACTCAAAATAGCAGAGTCTCGAGAAGGTTATAGACCCATCGCTAAACATTCATCAGTATTGTTCTTTAGCATTGCAGATCTGGCTAACATTGACCCCATGTACCAGTACTCTCTTAGCTGGTTTGTGAACCTTTATATCAATTCTATTCATGACAGGTAAGCATTACCTAGCTTCGTTTATGTTTACTTTCCTTCTCATTTAAAAATTTTAAAGTTTTTTTCTTATATTTTGTAATGCATATTCATATAGAACACAAAAGAAAGGGGAGAAGAGGGAGAAGCAGGCAATTATGCCTTTTTCCTATTTTAAGTTGTGTTTCACGCCCACTCGAGATCAAGATTTGAGTCTAGGGTTACTTGGGTTAGTCCCTGCCTCCCAGTGTGATGATGCTCTTTAGGTGAAATACAATTAGCTTTATTTGTTTATTTTTGTATTCCATTTTAGTGTTTTCTTCTCATACTTATTGATTTCAACTGTACTATGTTTTCATGTGCATGAGACATTAATATGATTCCAAAAGTCATCCCTGTACAAAAAGGTCACTATCTACAGTCTCTCTACCCAGTTCCCAGAGATCTAAGTATTACTTTACAAAAAGAATAGATTTCTAATTTTAAGATAGTTGTAGATTCACATGTAGTCTCTCACAATGTAAAACTATAATGCCACATCACAACCAGAATATTCACCTTGACCTAATCAAAATATAAAACAGTTCCACTAACAATAACCAAAAAAATCAATATAGCCACATATGTATGTATGTGTACCGGCATATATATGTATAGGTAAGTACAGATGTAAATAAACATATGTGTACATAGATATAAGTATATTTGTATGTGTATACATGTTTATGTACATGCATACATCTGTATGTGTCTATGTGTATGTACACATTCATAGGGGACATAGTTACAGATACTTCTTAGATATAACCAAGAACCTTTCAATACCAGTTTTCTGGGTTTGGAAGCTTAAGACCTTGGTATCATGAGACAATTCAGACCTTAGTATCATGAGACAATTAGGTCACAAAATTAGTATAGGTCACAAGATTCATGATCTCCTTTAGAATGAGATGAGTAGTGTTTGAGGCCACAAAAGCTCATGAACCACCAGCTAAGATACAACTAATGGTCTCTACTTGTGAGTGCAAAAGAGGAAGAAAGAAACTGGAGTAACAGAAGAAACTAGTCTACAGGGCCAAGAGCCTACAGGAGCCATGGCTGCAAATACCTGAGACCAGAAGAGCCAGATGATGCCTGGCTACCACTATGGACTGGTTTAATAAGGGCTACAATTGAGGGACCCCATTATAATGAAAAGAAAGAAAGAAAGACAACATGAACCAGGGAGGGGGGAAAGATATAAAACAGTTTTGCAAACCAGCGAAGATCCCTTATGCTGTCCTTTTATAACTTCCCTACCACCTGCATTCCCTCCTTACTGCCTGCCAACTACAAATCTGTCCTTCATTTTTGTGATTTTTAAAATAATGTTATGTAAGTGGAATTACACAGTATATGACTTTGTTGGATTGTCTTTTTTTAACTTGCTGTAGTTCTCTGGAAATTCATCTGGCTTGTTGCATGTTTGCTCCTTCTTACTGCTGAGAACGTAGTCCAGATATGTGTGCAGTTTGTTTCACTCTTGCCTGGTGATCATCTGGGTTATTTCTACTCTGGGGACTATTATGAACAAAACTGCTATAAACAGACAGGTTTTTGTGTAAATGTAATTTTTCATTTTTCTGAGAGAAATACAATCGCTGGGACAACTGGTAGTTGCTTGCTTTGTTTTTAAAGAAATTGTCAATCTGTTATTCAGAATGACTGTCATTTTACATTCCCATAAATGATTTTTGAAATTGTATTGAAAAAAATGAGTATTATAAGAATTTTAACAGGATTTATAAAACATAAAGAATAAATATAAATCATAACCCTATTTAGAAATAATGGCCTTTGTCTATATATTTTCTGATTTTTAATGCATATTTTAATAGTTAGATCTTTATCTAGTGCTTAGACATTGAGCTGCTAACCACAGGGTCAGCAGTTTGAAACCACCAGCCGCTCCTCATGAGATAGATGAGGCTTTCTACTCCCATAGAGAGTTAGTCTTGAAAACTCACAGGGGCAGTTCTACCCTACCCTGCAGGGTCAGTATGAGAACCGACTTGATGGCATCGAGAGTGAGTGATCTGAAGTCTAAGCTTCTTTGGGGTATGAAAATGTCTCATATGTTTTTATCTCTTACATTTCCCTCTCTAGCCTCACGCGAATAGAGTGAATATCAGTGGATACTCTTAATTAACTGATTGTTTTCAGTCATTTGGAGGTAGAATAAGAAATGTGGGATTTTGGGAATAGATTGCATAACCATACTCCTCTTTCTCATAGGATTTCTAAAGACCTTTTATTTTGAAATATGTATAGATTCATAAGAAGCATTTTAAAAAAGGAAACTAAGGTACCATGTACTTTCACACAGTTTTTCCATGACGCCATGTGTGACTATAGCACAATACCATAATCAGGAAGTCGACATTGGTATAATTCTTAGAGATTACTCAAACTTCACAGTTTCGCATGCACGTGTGTGTGTGTACCTGTGTGTGCAGTTCCACAGACAGTATGTGTAGTATGTTTTTAATAATATGTGAAGTAAAAATAGCTTATATTTTAATTCATAAATGTTACTTCTTTTGACTCAGTGTATTTTCATTTTTAACTTTTTAGTAACAAATCCAAAATTTTGGAAAAGCGCCTACGATATTTAAATGACCACTTCACATACAATTTGTATTGTAATATATGCCGATCACTATTTGAGAAGGACAAGCTATTGTTTTCCTTTTTATTATGTGCCAATCTTCTTCTGTAAGTACTTGTTTTTTCTTAATTTACTCACTTAGAAAACCTATCATGAATTTAAGATCAAATCTTAAAATTACTTCTTATAGCCAACCACCTTGAGAGAATGAGTCATTGCACTTAGATGCTTAGAACTACTGTCTCAGGGGACAACTTGGTCCATTGGTTTAGCATAGTTCACAAAGACAGTGCTCCACATCCTACTTCAGTGAGTAGTGATTGGGGTCTTAAGAGCTGTTGATTGGCTATTTAAGCTACAACTGTTGGCCTCTCCTGGTCTAGAAGTAGGGAAAATGAAGAAAACTGAAAAAACAGGAAAACAATTAGTCCAGAGGATGAATGGAAAACATGACCCACAGCCTCAGCTGTTCGGAGACCAAAAGAACTAGCTGTGTCTGGCTACATGACCAACCTCTCTGATCAAGACCACGAACGGTCTGAGGCAGAATGGGAAGAAAATGTAGAACATAACTAAAAGTCATAAAAAAGACAAGACTTAACTGGTGTGATAGAGGTCGATGGCACACTAAGACTGTCACCTTTAAATACCCTTCAAGCCTAGAGCCAACCAAACAGAGGCTGTGAAATGAACTAAAACATTGGCAAGGAACCGCCTGAGACCAAAGAGCAGCACTGGCTCTACCACAAAGGCCGAATGGCTGAAGGAACCTCGGGAAGAGGCAGGAAGGTGCCGTGACATTGAGGACACGCCCGTGGCTACACATTAAAATGTGCAGACATCGTTGAATGGAGAGCGCATGTCCTCTGCATAGCTTCTTCCAAGAGAATGTGTTTTTGCACTGCTTACTTCATCATTTTACTTGTGCACTTCTCTGATCACTATGGCTTCTACAATAGTATTAGCACTTTCTTCATCCAATTCACTATAAAAAATGCAGTCCCCCAGCCTCGCCTCCCAGCCCACCCCCACCCCCCACAAAAAAGGAAGAAGGATGAAGAAAACACTGGGTGATTCCTCTGACGTGGATAACCTGTTTCTTCTTGGTAGTCTGTTCTTCGCCTGGAAGCTCTGCTGAAACCTGTTCACGTTGGATGACCCTGCTAGTCTTTAAAATGCCAGCGACGTAGCTTCCAGCATCACAGCTGTTTTAACATTCATGTCTGCTAATCGTATCATATCTACCAGTTCTAGGACTGCTTCTATTGATTGATGTGTCTCCTGGTTATGGATGTAAATTTTACATTGTATTCCTTTAAAGCACTTTACTTTTGCAGGTAGGTAAATTACTGTGGGGTTAGTTTGATCCTTTCAAGATTTCTATGGCAGTTTTAGCATAGCCTCTATGCCAATACTTCACTATGAGGTATGATTTTTCTGTTGTGTGAATTACTTTGGTGTTCAACAGGCGCAATTCTGCCTGGCAAGAACTCATAGGAGGGGGTTTCAAAAAATTCATGGATGAAAAAAAAAAGATACTGGAATTTTTCCACAAATGTTTTGAAGCCCCTTAATTTCCAGATTTGTGTGAGATATGGGAATGACTGAGTTTACAGCTCCCCAGAAATCCTTTCTTAAGCTTGATAGAATTTAACCCTGTGGAGGGAGGGTGGGGGAGGGAGGGGAAAAAACGAGGAGCTGATACCAAGGGCTCAAGTAGAAAGAAATTTTTTTAATGATGGAAGTATATGTGCTTGACACAATGGATGGAATGTGATGAGCTGTATGAGCCCCCAATAAAATGATTTTTTTAAAAGGGAGTGGGGATTTAACCCTATGAGGAGCCCTGGTGGCATAGTGTTTACATGCTGCGTAGTGATCTGCAAGGTCAGCAGTTTGACACCACCAGTCGCTCTTCAAGAGGATGATAGGCTTTCTACTCCCATAAAGAGTTACAGACTTGGAAGCCCACAGGGGCCGTTCTGTCCTGTCCTATAGGATTGCTATGGGCCTGCAGTGAGCTAAGTGCCATGCCTTATTATTTAGCACCGGAAGCAAGAAGACGCGTGTGCTGATTTCTGGAGCTCCTTTACCACGGACTCCATCCTCTCGAGGGAGCTACCTCAGACTTCCTTCACTCTGTCTCTTTGGCTCAGCAGTACTGCCAAGCACTGATTCAGACCCCCTTCCGATCCACGATCCACGGTCCAGAAAGTACCTCAGGCAGACCCCTAGGCCTGACCTGACTTGTATCCCTTCTTTCAAAGACCCAAGTCCTGCATAACAATTTCCAAAAGCAGTTGTTTCGTCTTCGCCCCATCCCCAGACCGCCCTCCTGGTTTTCTAGTTGTCTGCAGCAGAAGGCTAAACTTGTTTAGTCCATTCTGGGTACATACAGAAATTGATGTTCAATTTTAAGATCAATAATTTATACCCTCCCTTATTTTATGAATGCAGGGCAAGGAAAGAGATTGAATACCAGGAACTGATGTTTCTTTTAACGGGAGGAGTAAGTCTTAAGAATCCTGAGAAAAATCCTGATCCATCTTGGCTACAGGAGAAAAGCTGGGAGGAAATTTGTCGAGCAAGTGAATACCCTGCCTTCACAGGGTTCAGGTAACTATTTAAATTAGATGACTTAGCCTTGAATCGTTATAAATAAGTGTGCAATCTAATGCTTTTTAAATGGTCCTACAGCTGTCTTTTTTTATCCTCGTTCTAGAAACCTTTTTTGTCTATTTTAATCCAATGAAAAGAATAATCAAGCTTCTTTCTCATTAGGGAACATTTCTGTGAAAATATACAGGACTGGCGGGGAATCTATGACAGTAAAGAGCCACATAATGCTAAGTTTCCACAACCAATGGATACAGCACTAAATGAACTACAGAGAATCATAATTCTTCGGTGCCTGCGACCTGATAAGGTAAAAGACAAAAATATTCTATTTGGAGCTCGGATAAATTTCCTGTTGCAGAATACTAGGATTAAAGTTATTGCTATTGGGTTATCTCTCTTCAAAGGCTTGACGAGGTTGGTTATCCTGCTTAGGGTTCATTAAGTTTTTTGGATCTCTGGGTTTTGAGTTTTCTTCAACTGGGGAAACATTTCTCACCACCGTTTTTTAACATTTTTTTGACTGCCCTATGCAAGAGTCCAAAGAGCTTGTGGTGGTACAGTACTGTACTTAAAGTTCTCAGCTGCCAATGGAAAGATTGGTGGTTCAAACTCACCAGCCTCTCTGTGGGAGAAGGAGTGTTTCATTGTGGGAGACAGTCTGCTTTTATAAAGATTTGTCTGTGTTGAAACATTACAGCTAGGATCACACTGGATGATGTCATTTCTATTTGTTAGCATTCATCCCCCACGAGACTATGACTGTCTTAAGGTCGGGTCCCGTGTGTGTCCTACTGTGTCACCAGAGCTCCTTCGGTGAGGTACAAGGATAACATTTTGAAAATCATCATTGCTCATAAAAGCAAGGTAAAAGATGGTACATCATTATAAACTCTTTTAAAAAAAAAAAAGCTCTGTGGTTTTTCAGTAAGACAAAACTATAGCTTGGCAGTCAGTGTGCTAACCTTGTACTTTTCCCCATCCCATGTCATTTCTACCAAGAAGCTTCCACTAACAGAATTGCTCAAAGTTGCACCAAGGTGCCATCTTTCCCTCCTTATCTACCTCGTGGGGCTTCCAGAACTGCAGAGGTCTCGGAGAAGCTCTCCTCCTTCCTTTGAATTTCTAGAGTTTTCACTAAATTGTTTGGCATTTAGAAAATGATGTCTTTGTTACGGATTGAATTGTGGCCCCTGCAAAATATGTTTTATCCCTATGATTATCATCCCATTTGGAAATGGGTTGCCTGTTAAGTTAATGAGGCAGGGTGTGTGTAGGTTGTATTTTGAGTCTTTTTTTTTTTTTTTTGAGGTAGAAAAGAGATTAAATAAGCAAGCCAGGAAACAGAGATGGGCCAAAATTGATGCCAAAAATGGTGATCTTCGAAAACCACACACTGCCATTGAGTCGATTCTGGCTCATAGCGACCCTCTCTGACAGGATAGAACCTCCCCTGGGTGTTTCTGAGACTGTAACTCTGTACAGAAGTAGAAACCTCGTCTTTCTCTGGCGGAACCACTGGTGGTTTCTAACTGCTGACCTTAGAGCTTTGCAGTCCAGCTCATAACCACTAGAGCACGGACGCCTGAGGAGATCGCCCACGAGGAGCCAGGAAGGAGAAGCTGAAGAGATAAGGGTCTTTCTTCTGGAATCCACAAAGCAAGTCTTACCCTACCACTGGAGCTCTGACTTCAGATCAACTCTGAGAAAATAGTTTGCATTTGTCGAAGTCACCCCTCACGGTAGTCCTGAAACCACAGCACTGGATAACTATGAGGGTCTCGGGCCTCTGTGTACCTATTTCATGTTTCTAGTGTTGATGAGTAGCTTTTGTTTTTAATGAATTTTAATGTAATTCATAAGTAGCATGTCTGTGGTTCCAAACTCAAAAACTCCTGAATCACATCAATATGTGGGTATATTATGAAAGGTTTACCTCCCATCTCCACTTCTCAGTCTTTCAGTGGCGTACCAGCTTATGAACTGGGGGGCTGACAGCAAGGTCAGGAATTTGAAACCACCAGCCACTCCTAGGGAGAAAGATGAGCTTTCTACTCCTATAAAGAGTTAGTTTGTGTCTCAAAAACCCACAAGGGCAGTTCTACCCTATCTATCCTATGAGGTCCCAATGAGTCCAGAAACAAGTGATTAGATAGCAGTGAGTCTGTTTTTTGGTTTTTATTCTTAAAATACTGCAGTGAAGAAACGTATTGAATAGTCATTTCTCATATGTCCCTTGGACTTTCATAGGTATTGCCAAATTGCCATCTGTGAAAAACATACCGCTCTATTCTTCCACGGCAATGTCTAAGAGTATCTTTGTACCCATACTTTTGCTCCCACAGTATATTGCCCAAGTTTTAGACCATTGTCCATTTAATAGTTGAAAAATGGCACTCAAGAGTTACAATTTGTATTTGTCTCCTTTTTATGAGTCCATACTCCGGTATGGACTAAGCTGCAGTAGAAGAAAGAGCTAAAATGCGGCTCTTCACTGCACTCTCTCCTAATAGCTCAGAGGCAAATGGCTGCAGGCTGGCCAGATGCTCTGTGCATGAGATTACCGGGAGATTATGGGTGCCTTCTCACACCAGGGGAGAATCCCTTAGAGTGCGGCCTCACCTGCAAGGTGCTCACAAGCACATCTGTTGAAGAGGGAACAAAAGTATTAAAGGAAGGCAACTTCCTTATTAAAATGTGATCTGGGAGTTCCATATATAATTTTTACTTATATCTATCTGGTCAAAATTTAGTCACACGGTCATAAGGAGCTGCTCAAAAGGTTGGGAAATCTCTGGGTTCTGGTACCAAAAAGCAGCAAAAGAGGGGGTCAGTTTTCCATCTGCAATACTGAATGAGGCTGAGCATCTTTCTTATATGTTTAAAATCCCTTTGTATTCCATTTTCTGTAAATTGTTTACCTCCGTTGTCAGGTTTTCTTCTTGAAAGCTGGATCTGCCCTATGAGTTTGTGGGAGCTTTATATATAGTAAGGACATTCGTACTTTATGACGTGTGTCATGACTTTCTCTGCCATTAGACCCAGTTTACTCTTTGTTAGTTCTCAGTGACAATCAGCTGTTCTGTGAGGCACAACAGTTACTCTAAAGGTCATATTTTCTGTCCCCAACAGATCACCCCAGCCATAACCAATTACGTAACTGACAAACTCGGGAAAAAGTTTGTAGAGCCTCCACCGTTTGATTTGGCAAAGAGCTACTTGGATTCAAATTGCACCATCCCCTTAGTGTTTGTGCTGTCTCCAGGCGCAGATCCCATGGCTAGTAAGTGAATCCAGATCGCAAACTTGTCAGGAATAACAAAGAAGGCATCTTGCACAATGCACATATCATATAAGGTTGCAAATCAATTAATAACTCCAGTTTTTCCACAATTACATCTGGACATTGAAATCATGAGGCATATTTGGTAATTCTAGCATCAGTAGTGAGATCATGTTTTTGTGCCCATTTTAGGCCTGCTGAAATTTGCAAATGATAAAGCTATGTCTGGAAATAAGTTTCAAGCTATTTCACTGGGACAGGGACAAGGACCAATTGCAACAAAAATGATTAAGTCAGCACTGGAAGATGGGACGTGGGTTTGCCTGCAGAACTGTCACCTTGCTGTCTCTTGGATGCCCATGTTGGAAAAAATATGTGAAGATTTTTCTTCTGAAATCTGTAACTCTTCCTTTAGGCTTTGGCTCACAAGTTACCCATCTCCGAAAGTACGTTTATTTCTCAAGGAGTTCAGTACATTTATCTAATCATTGATTACTGTACACATCTTAAGTTTTGAATACCTGCCCTTATGAGCTTTTGTACTTTATACTTACTTTGTTATCAACCAGTATGACGTCAGGGCCTGAGCTTGCTACAGTGTGTAAGGCTGTGCATTTCCTCTGTCTTAGTTCCCGGTAACAATTCTGCAGAACGGTGTGAAAATGACAAACGAACCTCCCACGGGTCTCCGCCTAAATCTCCTGCAGTCATATCTCTCTGATCCAATTTCTGATGAAGAATTCTTCAAGGGATGCCCTGGAAAGGAAGCGGTAAGTGGGAACTTAAAAAATGTGTGGGAAATATAAACTTTTAAAAAATAATATTTTAAACTGTAGTCATTTCCTAACAAGAAAGAAACGATAACCTCCTTGTTCACCATTTTATCCTCCATATTTCCTGTTCCACTTTCCACATGAGACATTGGAACAGTTACAGTAGCAGAAACTTTCAGGGGGGTGAGTGAGCCAGCATGGTTGGACTGGCAGTGGTTTGGAGTTTTCAGGACCAGCAGCAGCAAGGGGTCAGGCTTCACTGGTACCCTCTCGGGTGGTAAAAACAGCTGAGCACTGGGGTATAAGGAGAAAATATAAGGGACCCCCTTGGCGTCATTCTCAAACTTTCATGTGCATCAGCACCCGGGACGCTGATTGGTGAACAAATAGATTTAAATATGTCTAAAGTATTGAGTTGTATGATATATGAATTGTATACTGATAAAATTGTTTTTAAAATTGTTTTAAATAATTTTATTGGGGGCTCCTACAACTCTTATCACAACCCATCCATCCATCCATTGTGTCAAGCACATTTGTACATTTATTGCCCTCATTATTCTCACTTTCTACATGAGCCCTTGGAAGTTTTTTAGGAATTGGCTCAGTGGCCATGAGAACAAGTAGCACAGAGTAAGATTTTGGTATGAATAGTGAAAAACCATGAAGGAGTACATGAATTAAAGTAACTGTGAGATGAATGTGGTGTGGTCGCGCTCTCGGGGCGGACCTTGCTGGCAAAAGGGACCACTCTCCTTGCTGCTCTCCTCGCCTCTTCCCGCATCCCCGGTGGAGTG